TTGGAGCATTTAAGTGATGATCCTGAGGTGAATTTGACAAGTTGATCTGGCTCAGAAAGTTTGGTCGTGGATTCGACGGATGTATCATCTGTTAAAATTTTGCAAGCAGCAGATAAACTTGGAATGAGCGTGTGTGCAGATTTACGAACAGAAGGCTTTGATGATAAATTTGGTTGAATTTCCTGCGGCAAGGTTCTGCTGAAAGGCTTTGATTGTAGCGAGTCCGTTGATTCGAAGGATTGACCACTAGAAAGGAGAGGTGGTTCAACTAGTTCTTCAGTTGGGGAATTCACGTCCAAGGTTTTTGCAAGCTTAGTGATAACTGCTGATGTCGGCTCAAATAAGGTAGATGTAAGTCTGTTTTGGTCTAAAGATGATATGGTAAAATTTGGTCGCTTATTCTTAATTGCGGCGATAGTGCATAATCGGTTGGGGGTGGAAGATAAATTTAATGAAGCAAAATTTTTAGCAGATGTCACTTCATTTATGGAAGCTAATCTCTGCGGATTTGTGCGCTGAATAGGAGCCGGAGGTGGCATATTTAAGGATGGACTACGATCTGGATACGATTGTTCGGCATTAGAAGTATAACCTGTGAGTTTATGTAAAGAAGTCTGCAGTAGGTCGGGAATTTGCTTTTGTTCACTTTGGGATCTGGTTCGACCAAGCAAGCTGTTCAGAGAAGAACGACGCGAGGATACATTATCTCTTCGATGTCTGAGGTGAAATGATTTAATAAGAGGAAGACAAGACTCCCGTAGATTTTCAAGTGGTTCCCAGGAGTCTTGATCTGGAGGAAACCCTTCCCAGCGTACACGGTACAAAATCTTTCCATTTCTTTGCTTTCTCCCAACAATATTCTCTACCTTAAGTAATATAAAATAAAAAAACGATTACTGCATCAAAAACAATTTACTATTTTAGACTGTTGTGATAAAATATTAAGACCAAGTTTCAATAAGAAATGTTCGTAGAATGGAAACTTAAGAAGCTAACACAGCAATGGTAAATACAATATAAATAAAGAGCCATAGGTATACATTATAACTTATATATATATAGTGTATGGGAAAAATAGTACCAAATATACGTTATCCAGGTCATTATCTCTACTAGGCTGTCTCATTAATCCAAATAAGGCGGGTGAGAGTGTCCTGAACAGGCAATGACGTGAGAATGACAAACGAAAAAATATACAAAGCCTTGTTTTAGTGCTTTTTTACCATCGATTTATGAGGGTAATTTT